ATTTTTTTTTTTACTCCATCCTTACTTGGACCCAAACTGAAATGAATATTAAAATCCTAGTGATAAGAGACAAATGTGAAATGGATAATAAAGGATACCACTAAAAATGAGAAGCCCAAGTCTATCATCTTTATTCCCCAATCTTGTATTCAAAAAACATATGGTGTTGCTCAAAGATCCTGCTGCAGGTTATATATGTTTATGTGTAAGGTTTGCACTTATGTGTCTAAATTTTATGAATACATAGATATATATGTTTTTATTCCTATTTAGTGATGCATCTGTATTTAAATTACAAGTGTGTCATGATTGATAATGATGTGTGATTTTCCTTTTGTCTTCAACATATGTGAAAGAATCTCTTGGTAATTTTTCCCTGTGGGGAACGTCTTTGCTTTTTCTTAAGGATGACTATCTACCAATGCTTTGGATCCCCGCCTCACAAATCTATATGCATGCACTATAACTACCCATGTATTCATTGCATTGTTATAAAACTTTAATATTATGATATGTAATAAATTATCTCAGGCCTAGTTTTTCTATTTATAATAATGACCTAATAAATGTTCCTTGTTGCTAAAATTCTTTTGAAACTAGATACTAACTGGTTAGGCATCATTTCCACACCATATGTAAAACAATTGCTACTATTTGGGCTCATAAAGATTGTTGTGGAATACAAGTATTTCTAAGATCCAGAGATTTCCAACCCATGACATTTCCCTTTTAACATTCAATGCAGTTGCCCAGGTTTAGAGTCTCATTATCATTCATATTGATTGTTGGTTGGTTTTCTGGACCATGTTTGTATAGTGACATCAGCTAATTTTGAGTTCTGTTGGGAGCATCTTTGTCAATAGTAAAGTTGGATATCCTAAGACAGCTGCCCTTGAATATCCTCATTAGCAGTTTTTCAGTTTTTAATTAGTATCTAAATTAGATTTCTTACTGTTACAACTCTCCACAGATGGGCCATACTTCTCCAGAAACTTACCAGATATTTCTACCTTTGGTTTCCAAAGCATATAGTAGTAAATGGTGCGATTGCTGCTTTGGATGTTGGGCTTTCTTATTTTAAAAAAGTCATATAAAAGACTATATGGCATGTAAAAGTGTGGAGTAGACAAATGTGGCTAAAGAGTCCATCACTAAGACAACTGAATGCCTTTGGCAGTGCATTCACTGTACAGAATATTTTAAATCAGATTGCATTTATAGGGGACTTTAAAAACTACTTTAAAAACTACTGAGCATATGTTAATTGGTCTCTGAGACATTGTATTGTGCTTCTATTAAACTGAATTTGGACTAGGAAAGCTCTGTATTGATATCAGTCATTTTTATGCATTTCACAATCATCAAGATATTTCTTAATTCTTTTGCATTTTGTTTATATAATAGGAATGTTATCCTTGCTTTATCATATAGGGATCCATTCAACATTGAGTACCCAGTAAAAGTGAAACTCACTTTAAAAAAACACAGATGAAAAGTACTAAGAAATAATTATTAGTGAATGTCATCAAAGTGTAGTTTCTTGATATTTTTTTTTTACTCATCCCTACTTGGACCCAAACTGAAATGAACATTAAAATCCTAGTGATAAGAAAATCAATGTGAAATGAGTAATAAAAGATGACACTAAAAAATGGCTATTTCCTTCTTCCAAATAGCTTACAATCTAACAGAATACATATGACTTCATAAATAACTATCAAACAAGAAAAAATATTAAAAAATTTTTTTCTACAAACACTGGAATTTGTACCATCATCTGATTTCTAATCAGATTTCTTTGCTCTTCTTCTCTACAGATGATGAAACCGAGAGATAATTCATTGAGGCTTAAGAGTTGTTGTCCACTTAAATGCATGAATATATGTTATTAACCCATTTCTTCATTGATTTCAACAAATATTTATTGAGCCTATTTTATGTACCAAGTTTTGGTTTTGGTGCTGAGAACAAAGAGATTAGTAAGAGCAGGACCTTTACTTGAGGATGTCACAGACCACTGGAGAGAAATAATAGTTACTCAGATACAATATGAGAAATTTCATTGTATAGATATGTGCAGGGCTATCAGAACACAGAACAGGGAGGAGCAAATAAGCCTCATTAGTCAAGACCCACTATTACAAGAAATATGAAAGATTCCCAGGTAGAGAAAAACAGTGCAGTTATTACTATTTTGTTTGTATTGCTCTTTTTAAATTATATATTTCAAAATTTCAAAGATATTTATATATGACAATTTAATCATGAATGAAAATATAATTCTAATACTTTGAACATGTAAAGGGAGGCCTAGGTGAGGTGTTTTTTTTTTTGTTTTTTTGTTTTTGAGTGCCTTTTAGAATGTCTCTTCTCTGCAACAAAACAAGAAAACAAGGCAAATGCAGTTTCATGTCATTAAGTCAACAGGAGAGAGAGAGGCCCACAAATGTTTCTGTTAAGCAAGATATACTAACTGAAATTGATTTGTATAGGTTTGTTCACTATTAATTAAATAAATATTACATAACACATTAAATAACATTATTGGTTTCTTAAAATAATTGTAGCAATTTTTGACCCTCTAAAGTGATTATAAAGAAGTAAAACCTTTTTAATAAATTAACTTATGAGAAATTATTCAAATTACTATTTCACCATGGGAGGCTATCAGTTATGTAAGATTTAAGGAGTTTCAGTATTTAAGTATCTCTCTTTTGTGTGTTCTTGACCTCACCCAATGAAATTACAGATCTCATTATTTACAGCTCTCTTCCTACTTCGTGCCTATACCCAGATAGCTGAATATTGCTGGAGGAAAACACACAAATATGCTTCCTGGCCTCCCTTTGAACATACATAAAGGAGACCCTTAAGGCTTCCTGGCAGTACTACTACATTTCCCGAGTCCATGTACTTTCCCTAGCTATTTTATAGCTACTTTTCATCAGTTATCCAACACCTCCTCTCTCATCCTCATTATCAGCTTCCTAATTCACTGAGAAAAAAAGTAACCAGAAAATAACTTCTCAGTGTTCCCATCATCACAACCACCCAACCTCCTGAATCTGTGCCCATATTCCCTGCTGTCTCTAATAGTGAATTTATTCCTAAGGCAAACCCCTCTGTAAATGTTCTAGATCATTCCACTCTCACCTGGTCAAGATGTTGCTCTAGCGAATATTCCTTTTCAAAATCAAACAAGCATGATGTTCTATTTTCCATATTTTAAAAATCCACTTTAACCCTGCCCTTTTGTCTAGCTACCATCCTATTTCTTGGCTCTCCCTTACAGTCCTCCCTGCAGTCCTCAATAGTTGCCTCTACTCACACTCCTTGTTTATACTTTCTCGCCTCCTATTCGTTTTAAAACTCACTACAATTAAGCTTTGGTATCCACCACTTCCTAAAACTGCTGCTGTGAAACTTGTCAGTGATTTCTGAGTTGCTAAACCAAATGACATTTCCCTGTCCTCATTTGATTGGACTTACCTGCCACATTTGACGCAGATAATCACTCCCTCCCTCTTGAAATTATTTCTTCATTTGGCTGCAAGACACCTGGCTGCGTGGGGTTTTGTTCCAACCTTGCTTAGCCAACTTTCTCAGTCTAATTTGCTGATGTCTTTTCTTTTCCTAATTGGAGTTCCATGGAGCTCTGTTTGCTGTCTAAGCTCACTTTTAGGTAATCTCAGTAAGGCTCATGACTTAAAATATCAGCCATATACTATCGACCCCTCCATGCACAGCTCCAGCCCTGACCTCTGCCCAGAATTCCTGACAAACAAATCCAACAGCCTGCTCCTCGTCAAAAGCTTCACATGTCCAAAACCAAACTCCTGATTTTATCCTGCTAAATGTACTCCAACTACATTTTTTCTTAGTGAATGACATTTCTAAATTATTAGTTGCTCAGGTCGAGAACTTTGGAGTCATCCTTAATTCTCTTTCTTTCATGCCCCAGATCCAATCAGTAAACAAATCATGCCAGTTTTGCCTTCAAGAACTGGCCACTTCTTAAAACATGCTAACGTACTTAAATGATTGCAATAATTTTATCCTTTCAAACTCATTGAGATTTTTAGAAACTCCTGTAAGTCACAACAAGTGTCATGACTATGGTTTGTAATAAAAATGTGTATAATTTAATTTAGTTGAACAAAAACGTAAATACAAAATAGGAAATGGTTTTCTTGAGTGATTGATAAATGACCCTGAAAACCAATTCTTAAATAATAGTTTTCAAAATAATTTGCTCTAGAGCAACATAATGAAATGAGTATTTAACTTACCAAATTATCACTTATAAGGATAATATTCATTTGGTTTTATAGGTTTTGAATTATTATTTAAAATTCATCTTCATGATTATAATCACAATTTATATTAAGATCTTGTGAATAATAGGAAAGCTTATTGCTCTATAATGTTGATAAAATACTGGCTCTACCATTTTCTAGCTATGTTATCACAAACAAGTTTCTTACACTCTCTGTGCTTCAATTTCCTCATCTGTCAATGGAATAATAAGAGTGCTTACCACTGGATTTCCTAGTAGGCTCAAATAAGATCATATACTTGAAGTGCTTAGAATTAGTGCCTGGCATGGAGTCAAGGCAGGCACTGTGCTAGGAATGAGAGTTCTATGGGAGATTCTGTTAGTAGAAGCCCTCAGGGAATTTAGGCGTTCATAGAATATTTGACAGGTGAAAGACATTGCAAGGTTTCAGGAATTGGTGAAGACAACTATAAAAGAGACATCTGAAGGCAACATGTATTACTAATCTACAAAGTGAGAGAACTAGCCAACAAATGCTGTAGATATTAAAGTGGGAGAGAAAGATCACCTCCACCACCAGCGGTTTAAAATGATTTATGGTGAAATGCTTGCTTTTTTAATGCCCAATTTCAATGACAATAAAATCAAGATCTATACCCAGAAAGCACTAATTTTGGCTTACAAAGCAGAAACATAGGATTTTATACCAAATACTGATGCAGAGCTTAGATTACATGATATAAGAGAAACTCTTCTGAAATACAAATACCTATTTATGTGTGTATAGGAAAAACACAAATTTATATTGTTCCCACTACTCACTGATTTATTGCACTGATGATCACTTTGTTTTTATGTGCATTTAGTTTAAATTTACTATAGGAAGTATTAATTATGTATCACTGTGAACACTTCTTCTTCCTGGTATAATCGTACATTTATTGAAGAGAAATTTAATCAACAAATAGTAACAGCTGATCATTGTGATTTCATTATCCGTGCCTTTCAAATACAGACATGCTTTCCTGAAGTATAACTAATCTTCCTTAACCCTAGGACTGTGAAGTTATGCATATAAGGAGACAAAGTTATTTCAAAGTTCGACCCCAGGAAAGAGAGAAAGAAGATCTAAAACCTTTACCTTTTCTCCCCTCTAGTTGGCCCGCCACAATAAACTATTGCAACAGATGCTCAAACCAGGATTGGATCCAGATGAAGGAGATGAAGCCTTAAAGTATTATGCCAACCACACTGCACAGATTGAGGTAACCATCTATTATTTATTGAAAGGTACCAACTGTGAAAAGATATGCTTACTTTCTATTTTAGACCATTTTCATTATTTTTTTTTCTAGAGCAACGAAGCAGAATTGAGTGGTTTAAACTGAAAAATATATAGTAAAAGGATGAGTGAGGAATGATTTATAGGAAACTAAGGTGTACATCTTTCAAAATTGTCTCTTTTTTACTAAAACCACATGTAAAATTTCTTTTGCAATTAATTTTTTTTTTAACCATAGAAGCAATCAATCATTGCAAAGTAATAGTGTTTGAGAGATGGGATTATTATAATAGAAGCCATCATTCAGAAAAATGTTTCTTTTTTAAAAAATTGTAGAAGGCTTATTAAAATAGAGATCTCCAAGTATTCACAAGTGGAGAAAACATGAAAGAAACTAATAAAGTTTCCATATTGATAGCATAATCTTGGAAAGGTCTAATGGTTTCCATTTTCAGTATACAGAAATTGATCTCCCTCCACCCTCATAAAAGGGATATTATTTAATGGTTGGTGGCAGTTCAGGAGGTGTGGGTCAAAATGGACTTATCATTTTGTGTTCTGAGACCCATCTGGCAGTCATTTACTAGCTATGATATCATTTTGACACTGGTTGGCTGAGCTAATCAGGCAGAAGTGAGCAGAGTAGTTGACGCTTGTCACTCCTGTAATTTACATTTATACATTCATTCATTTTGGCAGATATTTTTTTACTTTTCAGTAGAGTGCATGATGGGCATCACTGTATTCACTCTCAGGATATATAACCCCTACACGGTATTGTTTACTGCTGCCAAACCTTTGGAATAATGAGCATTATCACTTTGTGTCACAGAAATGGATACCTTGCTCACATTTGTAAACATTAATAGTACCACAGTTTTGGTGTTGGACTTGACTTAGTGGAACCCCTGAGCTGGACCAGAAGCAAAAACATTTCTATACAAATAGAAATAGGTCCTCAAACCATGAACGTCTTAAGGAAGATCCCAGAAGTCAAAGTACAGAGCTAGGAGATCAGAAGAGACCAGGGAGTAGCAGATAGAGTGATCAAGCCATGGAAAGAAGAAAGAGGTTTGGTTAATGTCTGCAAGAGATGGGAGCTGTTGCTTGATGTTGTTTTATTCACTCTAGCGTGAGGAGAGATTTAGCTATAAATACACACATTCAGTAAATGTTTACTGAGCACTTACTCTACCAATTCACACATATAGAAGATAATTCTGTGTAATAAGTATATAAACAAAGGGCCAAGGAAATGTAGAGAAAATAATAATTAGTGGTGCCTGAGTGATTTCAGGATAGATTTCACAGAGGAAGTTACCTTTAAGAATGTATTAAAGATTGAGTACAAGTTTCTCCTTCAGGATGGGGATTTCAGAAAGAAGAAAGTAAGTAAAGGGAAGGTATTAAAGAACAGAGGAAGGAGATGACTATTTTTAAAAGATCAATCTGGTTGCTGTTTGGAGACAGGACTAGAAAAGAGAGTGGGATAGAAAACATACATAGATCAGATAGGAAAATATTATAATAGCAAATGTGAGAGATGATATCAAAGATGGCTGGACTGGAAAATACATAAAGATACATAGATACAGTTACACATATACATATACATCTCTATATAGTTATATATAGATAGATAGGTGTTATATAAATACGTACACACACACACATATATATGTATATATATACATACTGACACGGCTTGAAGTTGAAGTTGAATTGCACATACTAGGAAAATCGTGTGGAAAAGGATGTCCTCTGGGCTACTGGTTTGAATAAATGAGCAGACGTTGGTGCCATATATGGGAATGCTACGAGAGAGTGAACTTCGGCAGCTAAAAGGTAGAAGAAGATTATTTGTTCATTATTGGATAGATTGAATTTGAGGTGACTTTGAATCATCCATGAAGTTAGGTATACAAGTCCAGGTTTCAAAGGAGTGGTCCAGGCTAATGATGTAAGTTCTTCTTATTGATCAGCTCTCGTGTTCATCGGAAGCCAGCTCACATGACCTACTCAGAGAAGCCTCCCTCCCTTCTCCAGGCATTTGTTAATTTCATTTCACTGTGTATGCTTCCACAGAACTTTGGTTATTCTGTTAGTTTAATTTTATCACATTGGAATATTGTTAGCTTCATATATGTCACTTCTCCTTTACTTGAGGCAGGGGACCGGTCTTGGTTATCAGACAAAACTGAACCCTATGTCTCAAACATAACCACAAGAATTAATGTTATTGAGAATAATAGTTTGCCTGCAAGTTATAGACTTTAAAACTCTGGGAAATAGGAGGGGCCTTGTGTCTAATCACCCATTTAAAAAGGAATTGCCGTGTAATGATCTGCTTCTGCTTTAAATTCTTCCTGTGATAGAGCTCTCACTACATCGGGAGGAAACTGATCTGATTTTGAACAACTCTAATAATTACAAACTTTTTTAAAAAAAAATAAAGTTAACATTAGCCCATTTTAATGTTTACATTCGGAACTTTTTCTTAAAATTTATACTTTGAGTTCTGGGGTACAGGTGCAGAATGTGCACGTTTGTTTCATAGGTATACCCACGCCATGGTGGTTTGCTGCATCCATCACCTCGTCATCTACATTAGGTATTTCTCCTAATGCTATCCCTCTCCTAGCCCCTCTCCCCATGACAGGCTCTGGGGTGTGATGTTCCCCTTCCTGTGTCCATGTGTTCTCATTGTTCAACACCCACTTATAAGTGAGAACATGTGGCATTTGGTTTTCTGTTTCTGTGTCAGTTTGCTGAGAATGTTGGTTTCCAGATTCATCCATGTCCCCGCAAAGGACATGAACTCATCCCTTTTTATGGCTGCATAGTATTTCATGTATTTTGCTACATTTTCTTTATCCAGTCTATCATGATGAGCATTTGGGTTGGTTCCAAGTCTTTGCTATTTTAAAAAGTGCCATAATAGACATACATGTGCATGTGTCTTTATAATAGAATGATTTATACTCCTTTGGGTATATACCCAGTAATGGGATTGCTGGGTCAAATGGTATTTCTATTTCTAGATCCTTGAGGAATCACCATATTGTCTTCCACAATGATTGAACTCATTTATACTACCACCAACATTGTAAAAATATTCCTATTTCTTCACATCTTCTCTAGCACCTGTTGTCTCCTTTTTAATGATCGCCATTCTAACTGGTGTGAGATGGTATCTCAATGTGGTTTTGATTTGCATTTCTTTAATGAGCAGTGATGATGAACTTTTTTTCATATGATTGTTGGCTGCATAAAAGTCTCCTATTGAGAAGTGTCTGTTCATGCCCTTTGTCCACTTTTTGATAGGGTTGTTTGTTTTTTTCCTGTAAATTTGTTTAAGTTTTTTGTAGATTCTGGATATTAGCCCTTTGTCAGATAGAGATTGCAAAAATTTTCTCCCATTCTGTAGGTTGCCTGTTCACTCTGATGATAGTTTGTTTTGCTGTGCAGAAGCTCTTAAGTTTAATTATATCCCATTTGTCAGTTTTGGCTTTTGTTGCCATTGCTTTTGGTGTTTTAGTCATGAAGTCTTTGCCCATGCCTATGTCCAAGTTTGGAACATTTTTCTCCTCTCAATATGATAACTTGACTCTAACATGTGAAGAGCCATCATGATTACTTAAATACAAGCTCTTACTCATTGGGGTTCATGTTTTTTTTTCCCCAACATGCCTTGCCTAAAGAGTGAATAAGCATTTGTTGAATAAATGTATTGAAAAATTACCCATCTTTGACTTTTTGCAGTTAGTACACCTCCATTTCCTTCACCAATCCCTCCAGTTTGTCCATGCTGTTGTAAAATATGACAGCCATAATCAAACATAAGATTTCATAAAGGGACTGAAATGCATGGCTTATAATAATCTAGACATGATTTCTTTGATGCACCTGAAATTTTTAAAAAAAATTTTTGACACTATTGGATCAAGTAAACCTTTTTTCTTCACACATGGTTGCCTGTCATTCCAAATGTGTCAAATTATTTTGTACAATTGATTTTTGTAACCTATATGCAGGAATTTTTATTTACCCCGACTAAATTTCATGTTATTTGCTCTATGACGGTATTCTAGTATGCAATTGAATATATCACATATCATTTAGGATACCTTCAGTTACAAGTTTAATAAAATACCACACTGACAGTTGTTTAAACAGTAAAATATTGCTTTATGGGAAGTCTAGAGTACCAGTAGTTCTATAATTGATTCAATGATTCAGTGATGTCTTAAAACATGCAGATCCTTCACATCTTTATACTAGGTTTCTTATCATGCTGATACTCTCTCACCTCATGGTTGCAAAATGGCTGCTAGAGTTTCAATCATCCTGCCCTTAAACCCTTTTGTTCTAAGCAAGAAGAAAAAGGATAGAGACAAACCAAAAAACAAACCAAAAAAAATTCTTTTATTTTTATATATTTGGTTATTGTTGTTTTCTTTGTCTCTTGTGGCTCTCTGCTTTTACCAAGAAACAAAATCTTTCCTGGAAGCCGTTTTAGGAGATTTCTCTTTATGCCTCATGGCCCATGACCACCACCGCACCAGTAAATGCAAAGGGAAAGAGAATTACTCTTTTGAGTTAAGCCAATCCTTATTCATTCCTGAGAACTGGGCACTGTACATAAATATGAACCTTGAAATTTAGGCTACATAAACCATAACAAATAAGGGAGGCTCAAAATGATGAGTATTTAAATATGGATATATGTTTACATGGATATTGTACCTAAAAAATGTGTGTTGCCATGAATAAGAGAACATTTTAATGATAAAAAGCACTTTTCTCTGTAGAGTTCAGACCACATAATGTTGAGTATATCACTTGTTATCCAACAGCCCCTTTTAGGAC